AAATCCCACCTCCGCAGTGTGCCTGTTGGCTCTGGCTAAGCCGCTGGCCTTGCAATTAAGAGATGGTGTCGCTGGCCCGCTTCCAGCATACAGCACGTCATGAAAGCGAAGCTGAACAAGTGCCGATCGAGCTTCTGCAGCCTGCTGGGAAAAATGAGGCTCCCACAGCAGCCCCCAAGAACGGGGGTTTTCCGTCTAAATATCTGGAGAAGCCTGCTGGATCAGAGCGGGAGATTCACCAACACAGGACATAAAAGGGGGCAGGAGTGTACTGGAACAAGAAGACTCTTCATACAGAATTTTGCATGGTGAGTAGAGAGTGATAGGTGCAGGCTCACACTTTCACTGCCTTTTCCTTCCATAAGGTGATGCAGGATGTTCACGTAAGTTTTTAGTGTCAGATCTCAGAGATGATTAGGTACACAAGACAGGTATGTTACAGATTACAGCATGGTAACTAGAAGGTCGTGGTTACAAGGTGAAGAAGAATGCAGCGTTGTGACTAGAGACAAGTGGTTTGCAGATAGGAGCAGTCTAGCACTAACCTCAGAACTCCAGGTTTTTACACTCTGCCTTCAGATGAAGGCACAAGCTGATGAAGAAGCTTCTGTAGGCTGGCAGCCTTTCCACTGCAGTCTGAGCACCATTCCAATAACCACTGCAAATAAGTTTGAGCTTATGCAATTAGTGGCCATGGAGCTTTTGCCAGGTTGGTGCTGAGGGATGAAGAGATGACAAAGGGTACAAGATACTTTCTCTGATACTTCTCCAGTTTCTGACATATTTTCAGTCAAGGATTTGCTTTACCTGCTCAGTCTCCACTTGGATCTGCGCAAGCTTCCTGAATCCATAACACCTTTTGGCAAGTCCCACAGATCTGTCACCCTGCCACTGAAAATGTGGACTTCAGCTGTTTAAACAGATACTTTGCCTTCACTTTCCTCAGGCTTAGGCCTAAAGAAAGTTCTTTCCATTCATTCCTTGCTGCTTCCAAACAAATGCTTTTGGAGACAGAGAAACATTGCTCTGTAGCAAGATGTATCAAGTCAGCAGATAACTGCTGATTTGATAAGCAGATTACTTAGCAGCTAAATTAACAACTAAGGCAGAATTGGTATGCAAATGCCTGCTCATCTAATGGATTTTCCCAAGTGTACAGTGGTGTGGTGTTGGACTAGAGGGATGCCAGCTGAGATTCACTGTAACTTCTCCTCTAAAGGAACTGGCAACAGTTACTGAAAACTAGAAGCTAGAATTTTTAAAAACATTTAAATACCTGAATTACTTTTGCAAATCCTGCCTAAATTATAAACAAAAGGCCATTTGGTCATAAAGTGTCATTAGCAGGGGATAAAATCATCATGAGTGTGGAATGAGACAAATCCCAATCTTAAGACAAATTTTGACGCAATTCAATTAACATTTGGATCATTCACACTTAACCACAGATGAGTGAAGGGCAATGGGGAAAGCCATGAGCAGGAAGATGTATTAGCAGGACCTCGTGGCATTAATTTGAAAAATTTGGCTATGAGGAAAAATCTAAGCTGGAGAATACTGGAATTGTCATGTTAGATGTGTGAACCTGGGGCTCAGAGACTGAGATGATGCTAGAAGCCTGGCCAAAAAAACAGAGGAGCAGAGGGTCAAGTTCAGGGACACAGGTTGGAACAGACGCCTGCAAGAAGTACGTCAGAAATTACTGAGGGGGCACAGAGGAGCTCAGGCCTGGAGCAGCAGCAGGAAACCTTGGGAACCGGGTAGAAATAGGCAGCAAAGGTTGTAGAAAGCACTGGGAACTCAATTGTGTGGAAGCTGGCTTTATTCTGACTGCAATGCCACAAAACGACACTCCACAGGATGAAGGCACTGCTGTTCCCTAGCGGTGCTTTCCGGTGCGATTGAAGCGCCTGTACAAGTAGCGGATCCTCTTGTTGAGTTTGTGATAGTCGTCTGCAAACATCCGATCGCCCACCATGCGCTTCTTGCGGAGGCACCTCTGCAGCTCGTTCCCCCGCCAGCCTCGCAGCCAGGTGGGCCCCATGATGAGATTCTTCGGGTGGATCTGGAAGCCGCCTGAGAACAGGAGACCACAGACAGATGAAGCCAGGCCCTGGAGAAGGCCTTTCCCAGGGCGGCCGGCGCCCATCCTCCCCGCCCTGTCGCTGCTGGCAGAGGCGCCATCCCGCAGGTGAGTCCGGCCTCCCTCCCCTCCCGCCCGGCCCACAGCGCCGGGGAGGGAGCTGCGGGCGGGCTGCGTGCCTTACCCAGGATCCCCACGTTATCATACACCCCGAACAAGGCCCGCTTCTTCGTCCACCGATCTACCGGCTTGCGCTTGGGCGGCTCCTTGATGCGGATGGGCCGGGTGAGCCCTGCCAGGGGCGAGGACAGCGGCACGGGGAGGCCGGGCCGCGCGGGCGCCCAGCGCGCCCCGCCGCAGTCGCTAAAGCCCCGCTCAGCGCAGGGCAGGAGAGTGGCACGGCCCAGCAGGGCCCGGCCCGCCGCCCGCAGCAGCAGCGCTGCCGCCGCCGCCATGGGGAAGCCCCCCGGTGCCCCGGGGACGGGACGGGACGGGAAGCGCGGCGGTGCTGCCGGGCCGCCCCTTCCGCCGCCGAGCGCAGAGGCGCGCGCATGACGTCACGCCAACGGTCGGGAGGGCAGGGGAGGCGGCGATTGGGCGAGGGGCCGGCGCGCGGCGCGGCCGGAGGGCGCTGATAGGGCCGTGGCGGGAAGGGGCGGGGCGAGCGCGGTCTGCGCGCGCGGTTTCGAGCGCCCGGGGCCGTGCGGGGCTGTGGCGGCCATGGCGGCGGCCCCGGAGTTCCACCTGCCCCTCGCTGCCGCCGATCTGCTGCGGGATGGCGGCCCCGGGTGCTACGTGGTGCAGGAGGTGCTGGCCGCCCGCGACCTGCCGCCCGCACTCGCAGGTAAGGTCCCTACACTCCCTTTCCGGTCGGGCCCGGTCCTGCCTCCCGCTCACGGGCATCCCCCCGCCTCTCTCCGTGTTTTGCAGCTTTCCGGGCCGCCTCCCGTGCGCGGGGCGCGCTGGCCGTGCTGGAGCACTTCGACTGCGTGTACAGCGTGCTGCAGTGAGTACGGGGCGAGTACGGGGTAGGAATGGGCGGGAGGGCGGGCGAGCGGACACTCGCCCCTCTGCCCATCCCTGCCAGGCGCTCTTCGCTCGCCGCCTTACGCCCTGTGCTTGTCCCGCAGCCACTTCCGAACCGTGGGCACGGCTGTCAAGGAGGACGCCCTGGAGCTGATGATGCACGGTGGGTACCCGCTGTTTCCGGACTAACAGAGAGCTTGTTTCCCTTGGCAGCTCAATGATGATATAAAGGCTAATGTGACTCGGCCAGCTGGGCTGCACCCTCAGCCCACTCCTATCATACGGGTCTGTAATCTTGGTGGATGATGCTGAGTTGTGCATGTTCGCTGTAAGGGCAGACCGACAGAAAATCCTCTTGCCCCTGTCCCCGGAAAATGAATCTGTGGGATGTTTCAGCTCAGAGTGAGTGTTTCTCTGAGCCGACGGAGGGCTGTGGGGATAGGACAAGACAGTGTGCCCAAGGTCTGGGCTGCAGGGGGCAGCCCGTGTTACAGCTGGTGAGATGTGAGCACACATCTTTGGTAATCTGATGGCTGCTCTAAGCCTCCCAAAGACAGGATGGCTGAGGCACCTGGCTAGGAGTGCTCATGACTTTCTGCTTCTCCTCAGTGGTGTCCCATCATTCCAATGAACTTCCCACTATCCTGAGTGACTCTGAGCTGAGCCATGCAGACCGGGCTGCTCACCTCAATGCTCTTAAGATGAACTGCTATTTGCTGACTGGCCTGATGGATGCCTTTGAAGTGGAAACCTGCAAGAACAGTTGCTTGGAGGCAGACCCTGGTAGGAAGGTAGGTGAAGAGACTGGGGGAAAGATTATAAAAGTCAGAATAAAATTTTAAGCTTGCTGAACTCTGTAGTATGTGTCAGATTTTATAGTTGGGTTTATATAAACATGATTCCAGCAAGAGAAGTGCCTAACGTGAAGCACTGGTGCTTCTGTGAAACTGTGCATGGAAAACAGTCAAGGGACAATCGTGTGCCTAGATATCTGAAGGAACTTGGATGCCCAGACCTTTCTATTTAATTCTTGAGTTTCTGGCTGGAACCTAGTGTGCCAGTGTTTTCTCAAGATTTCCTTTCTGTTGATTGCAGTGGATGCAGATATAATCCTTAAACCACACAAGGCACTGGTGCTGGCCTGAGCTGAGAGAGAAGAGCTGGGGGGAGAAAAGCCCCTGTGATCTCACACATCTCACTGTGTGTCTCTTAATGCTGTAGAATTTAACAGACTTCTTATAATTTGAAGGAAGCAGAGTAGTTAGTGATGGGGTTTTGTCTGTTGTGAAGCTGCTGATGTATCTTACTGTGTAACCTCCTTTCTAGAACAGGAAGAACCATGCCAAGACTTCTGGATCCTTGTGGGAAGAGGAGAGGGAGCCGCTTTTACGGCTGCTTACACAGCTGCTGCAGCTGGATCTCCGTCAGCTTTGGGGTGGTCTAGTGGTGGAAGAAGAGTTTGTCAGGTATGAGTTGGAGAGGAGATATTGGTGGAATGAGTGACTGGTTCTGAGGAATAAAAATGTGGGGTGCAGATCATTGGGAAACTGAGGAAACAGCTCGAGGCAAAAGCAGTGTGGATAGGAACCACTCCTCACAAAAAATTCAGATGCTTGCTAATTTTTAGAGGACACTGGAGAATCTCTCAGACAGAAATGTGTGGTGTGCTGGAACGATGTTTGTGCAAGCTGTGATAGTGAGGTTTGCTGTCTGTCTTCTGTGGCTGTAGCTTGATGACGAGGAGCTGCTACCGTATCCTGGAGAACCCAAGTATCGGCCTTCAGAGGTACCGGCTCACACGGGAGGCTGTGACACATCTGCTTGCTGCAGCTCTGCTTCACTGTGACCGCATGTTCAGTGAGTTCCTGCTCCTCTGCCTTCTCCCTGAAGCCATTCCCAATTACTCTTCCTGACCCCCTTCTTCCTTCTCACGTGTTAAAGGTGCCACTCTGAAGATCACACAAATGCTGCAGCACTTCGAACATGTAGCCCCAGTGTTTGCACAGGCTGTGAGCCTCTGGGCTAAAGAGTATGGTCTAAAAAGCCTGGTGGGTGAACTGCTAAGGTGAGAGAAATACTCGGAGGCTTGTCCTTTTATCTCTAGCAATTTGAGGCTATTCCTTGTTTCCCCATTCCTTGTTTCATCTTTCTGTACAGGGAAATTGGACAGATATGTCCCCAGGATTTGGCTCGTGAGGCTTCTGGAGTCAAGGGTTATGCTACTTTTATAAGTGAACTGGCTGAACAGATTCCAGCTCTGGTGCTCTCCAACATGAGTGTTCTCCTGCCTCACTTGGATGGGGAGGTATGTTTCTGCAAAGTCACCTGTCCAGAAAAGTCAAACAGTAGAGATGCTGCTATCCAGTTTTTCTGTCTGAAACAGAGCCTCTTTCACAGAGCTCAAGTATCCAAAACCCACTCTATTGGAATAGATTCTGCCCTTACCTAAAAGATGCAAAGGGAGCAGAAACCATGGCAACCTCCTGTCTGGTTGTCACTATCAGATGTCAGAGAACAGGAGACTGCCTACTTGTCTGAGGTCTCTACTGTTGTCCCTTGTTCTTCAGCACTTGATGAGCCTGTCATTGTGTTACCTTTTCTTTTTCTGCTGTGTTTCTCATGTCAGTTCTTGGCTTCTGTGTACCTACCTGGATAGCAGGATTTGGGTTGGAAGGGCCCTTAGGGACACCCTCCACTAGACCAGGTTGCTCACAGCCCCATCCAACCTGGCCTTGAACAGTTCTAGCGATGGGGCATCCACAGCTTCTCTGGGCAACCTGTACCAGTGCCTCACCACACTCTCAGTAAAGAATTTCTTCCTCATATGTAATCTAAACCTACCTTCACTTTGAGGCCATTCCCTCTTGCCCTGTGACTGAATGCCCTGGTAAAAAGTCCCTCTCCAGCTCTCTCACAGCCCCCTTTAGGTGCCTCCTCTGAGCTTCTCTTCTGCAGGCTGAACAAGACCAACTCTCAGCCTGTCTTCATAGCAAAAGTTATTACTCTGTCTTGCACACACTGCTATATTCACCCAAACTTCATACAATATCCATACTGAAAAATTCACTTAGGGCTGGAGCCTGGGATGTGGAAGGCCCAAACTCTGGGCATGGTCTGTTCCTAGTTGACCAGCTCCTGTCTTGGCAGAGTTACACGATGCGAAACGCCATTCTGGCAGCCATGGCAGAAGTGCTGGTGCAGGTGCTGAATGGTGACCAGCTGGAGGAAGCAGCCCGTGGCACTCGGGACAAGTTCCTGAGCATGCTGCAGGCCCACGTGTGCGACGTCCATAGCTTCGTGCGCAGCCGCGTGCTGCAGCTCTTCACTCGCATCGTGCAGCACAAGGCAAGTCTGTGCTGGGCAATTGGTGCTCCTCACTTCTATCTTCTGTGTTCTGTGGGAATTTCTACCACCCTGCTTTTGGTTTGCAGAGACTCAAGTTTTAACAGAAAGGTGCTGTCCCTGTGTACTGTGGTGGCTGCAGTTTCTTCCAAGATACCAAAGATCCCAGGGGTGGGGGAAGTGGGGGGTGGAAATTAGATGCTCCTCATTCTTACCAGGACAAACCAGAAGAATGAGCATAGCATACAGCCTCTTTTCACACACTGGTATGGGAGAACATTACAATTACCAGATATACTAGTACTCAGCAGGCTCCTGGATAACCTAAATCCTTGCTTTCAGTGGATGTTGAACTAGAATATATCCAGAGATCTTTTGAGCCCTAGAGTCTTCTGTAAATCTATAATCTGTGCTCTTTAGTACATGAAGTTGTCTGCAGTAAACTTTTCCCAAGTCTCTGAGCCTTCTTGATAACTTAATCTGTGCACTTGTTGTGTTCTAGGCCCTGCCTTTGACTCAGTTTCAGGCTGTGGTGTCGCTGGCTGTTGGGCGGCTCAAAGACAAATCTGTCTTAGTGGTTAAGAATGCAGTCCAGCTCCTGGCTGCGTTTTTGTCCAATAACCCCTTCTCCAGCAAGGTAATTCAAATTAATATGGTGGATGTGTTAGATGTCTCTCTGCAGGCTAAATATCTGCAGTGTGCTATAGCCAGGGCGGTAGCATTTATGTGTCTTGTGGGAGGAATGGTGTAGCCTTTGATTCTGAAGCTGGCAGCTTTCTGGTCTTCCCAGGTTCAGATTTTGAGTTCTTGGACTCATCCCTCTCTTGGTGAAATGCATAGCTATGTTGAAGGCCAGGAGGGGTGTGATTGAGGTAAAAACCTGCAGCAATTTTGAGTCCACTGTGAGGTTTCTCTCCTTAGGATCAAAACTAGTATTTTAGAATATTTTTTGTGGATGTGCAGCTCTTTGTGTTTAGCTGCATCTTCTCCTGAGTTTCTGAGCCCTATACAGGGAACTTAGAGCAGTTCTCATTCTAGGATCGGGGCCAGAGTCTACTCTTCCACTTTCCCAAAATAGGGTTATCTATGGGAATTGACAACTAAAGCAGAGAGTGGAAGAGAGAGGAGAAATCTGGCATTTCAGGGAAAGGAGGATAGCTAACATATTTCTTCTTCTTTTCCTGACATCTTCAGTTAAGCTGGACTGCCTTGGATGAGCCACTAAAGAAAGAAGTACAGAAACTGAAAGAAATGAGGGATCGTAGCAGACCCAGAGCAGGTAATTTCCTTTCTTCTTCTCTCCACTTTCTAGGATAGTCCTAGAAATTACTTTTCCTCATATTAATGTACTTTTCCTCATATTAAATTTGCTTCCAGGTTGTGACAGCTTTTTTCTCAGACCTTATCTGTGTGAGATGGTGAGGCCAGATCACTGGTATTAAACTCACAACAGTTTTCTTTATGGTATTGTTAGAAAAACATCACATTAATATCCATGTCTAAATCAACAGTCCTTATAGCTATATATCCTATTTTCTGCATAAGAACTGAAAATGTCTATGAACATATGAAACCTCCCAGGTTTCTCTTTTCTACCCCTCAGGGACTGCTTGAGTCATGATTTTGATCAGATGTTATTTAAACTTGATTTGTGGGCAGCACCAAAGTCCAAGGCTAAACAAATGATCGTTCTCTTACCTGTCTTTTTTTCCTACCTTTAGTGGTTTATTTGTTTTAGTCAGAGTTCTTATCTTATTCTCACTGCAGTCTGGGTGGGATCAGCAATGGGAAGAGTGCTTGCCTGGGAGGTGGTAGAGGAAGTTCCTAAGTTCCAGATGAGTTTTTCCTTCCCATTAAAGGTGTCACCTGAGTCTGTGTTCTTCAATCCCTCTGGTTTTTAAGTAGCTCCTGTGATCGCCCCAGAGGAAGAGTGGGAAGCGATGCTGCCAGAAGTCAGGGCTGCCACACAGCAGCTTTTTCAACCACTGCAGGAAGGAGAAGATGAAGTGCTGGAAGTTGAAGAAACAGCGGAGAGGACAGTGGAGCAAATCACTGGGCTGTTGAAGAAGCTGAATTACAAGTAAGAAGGCTCTGCAGTTTGACCGTGTTTATCCCAAGGGGTGATTTCCAATAACATTACTCTGTAGGAAGAGATTGGCGTGGGCATCCAGTAGAAGATGGTGATAGGAGCTGCTCTCCCAGGTGCTCAGGGCAAAGTTGGATGGTTTCCCTTGTGTTCTGCTCTGATGTGTTGCTGATACTCTCTTGGGCATTGTCATTGTCCAGGAGCGCAGCCCGCCTTACGCAGAAGGCCCTGTGTCGCTTCCAGGGAAAGGAACCTTTCGTGGGCCCTGGGGAGGAAAACGAGGAGGCAACAATCCTGGGTGTTCTGAAGAGACTTTACACAGGTAACTGTATCACTCTCTGTTCCCCAAGTCCAAGATAATGCCAGAGCCAGACTAAAACCCTCTGGAATTCTCTGTCCCTCCTTCTGACCTATGGGGCTCAGTCTGTGTGTACCTGACAACTCCCAGAGCTGCAGCACCTCTGCACAGTTTGTTCATGGTTTGTCCAAGTACCTTGGCATTTAGCTGGATCATATTGATCTTGATTTTTGGTTGGAACAGTTCCATGGTCCCAATAGAAGTGCATTTCTGGTGTGTTCACTCACATATCTGAGGGGAGTGGAGCCAGTGTTGCCACTCACGCTCTTCTGCCCTGTCTGAATTCGTCAGGAGTTCTGCTTCCTGAACAGGTGGTGGCACATAATACAGCCTTGACCAAGTATCTGGTTGTCATGGTTTGAGCCTGGCACAGAGCCAGTGCCCCCCCATGAAAATGCCTCACCCTGGTGTCTGCTGTGAGATGTGACCAGGAATAAGCAAAACAGGCTCTAACTTAAACATAAAGAACACTTTATTACTTAAACTAC